CAGGCAAAAATTCAGCCTATTCCTTTCGATTACTGGTGCTGTTGGGTGTCTTTGATGCGATTTTCGGGCGTTCTTCCAGGAGGTTCAGGCGGTGGGCCGGTTCCGGGGTGGGGGAGGGGGTTGCGTACAGGGGAGGGATAGAGGTGGTGGTGGCGGGGTGGTGGGGAGGTGGTGGTTCTTAACCATGGTTAACCATAGTTACGCTTAAAATGCTCAATTACCTTGCTTAATGTTATCATTGAATAAACTTTTTAAAATATGGTTCACCAAAGATAATAACTTTTTTTGCATTTTACCACTGAGAATTTTTATTATTAGAGGTCTACCAAAGAGAATTTCCCTAAGATATTTGAGAACTCTCTTGGGGAATTGGATGTTAGTGAAAATAATTTGTTTGAAAAAATCGCTATAAGGCTTCAGGGTAAGACCGTTGAGCAAATTAAAATCCACTATGAAGCATTGGTTAATGATATTGAGCGCATAGAGCTTGGAGAGTTTGATCACCTTATTAAGTAGGTCTAAAATTATAATATATTTTTCTATGTCATTACTTTGTAATAAATATATATATATATATATATATATATATATATATATATATATATATATATATATATATATATATATATATATATATATATATATATATATATATATATATATGATGTTTGCTAATGAATTAAAATACAACTATTACATAATTTCAATAATGAAATCACATTTGAACTGTCAATTTTTTTACAAGGGATATAACCATAAAGAGAGGATTCCCTTCTTTTTTTTTTCAAAACAAACCTTGTACTCTCTCTCACATTCTTCTTTTTGACCATCTTCTTTATCCTTCTTTTTCAATCATCTTTTGCCATTTTTATTACTTTTTTTTTACTACTACATCTTTTCTTGTTGTACTTTTAAGGTTATATTACTGTGTCTTTGTTGTTCCTTGGATTTTCATATTTTTTATATTTTAAATTTTTGTATATGATTGTGTTAAGCAAGATTTATTTTGCTTCTTTAGCCCGGCCTAAATCTTTAGATTACTTGAAATAATTATTTTTCTATGTTTTAGTCTTCTGATTAGTCGATTTGCCTTTGATTACTGTACTTATGATTATATTCAATCATCAAATTTATGAGATCAAAAGGCAAAATCACCTACAATTTTGTACCTAATTTCTTTGTTTTATTCATGGCTCTATTCATGGTTGAAACTTCTGTTGGACCCTTGATTATATAATAAGGTCATTTGCTTTTGTGTGATTATAATAAGGTAAATTTTTTTTATTTTTTTTTTGGGGGGGGGGGGAATTTAAGCTTATTTATGAGACTTTTTTTTATGTATAAAATTTAGGCTTGCCACCATTTCATGTTACTTTGGTTTTAGGATTAATCTTGTTTGGCATTTGATAATGGTGTTGTTTAGGGATTAGTTTCATCTTTAATCTATTATATTATCTTATCTCTCAATTTTAATTTATTTACTTGTTTTTTATGGGGGTCAAGGAGGGGGTTTCCAAAGTTCATCTAAGTATTTTAATTTTCTATTAACGATTTAGCATCCTTGCTGATATTGCCACTCAATGGTCATCTTCCTTGTCTAGTTATATTCGTCGTTGTCCTATGTATCCCCGCAAATTACATGTTTCTTTTATCACTCATAAGTCAGATCTTCCTTAGAGGATTTATGTCAATTGGCTTTAATAAAAAAAATAAAATTATTTATTATATAATTTAATACTATCTTTTATATATTATTTTTTCCTAGTTTTTTTAAAAAAAAAATTTGGTATGTAGTTTTTCGATATCTGAAACAAGAATCACTTGCCACTTATGGTCTTTTCTTTTCATAAAAAGACCATTAACAATGTACCATTCTTCTGTTAATTATAATTTGTTAAAAATCTTTATCTTCTTTTACACTACATTAAATTATGTTTATAGTTGGCAATTCTGACCCGACCCGAATGACCGGATCCGTGACCCGAAATTGACTCGAACACAAAGCTGGCCCAACCCGAAGTGGAGTTGACTCAATACCCGAATTGACCTGACCCGAATTAAATCGACCCGAAGTTGACCCCATACTCGAATTGACCTGACCTGAAATTGACCCGATACCCGAAGTGACTCGACCCGAAGTGATCTGACCCGAATTGATTGACCTAAACGGACCTGAAACTTGAAGCGGCCCGAACTATACCCAAAATGACCCGATCCAAAATTAACAAATACTTAAAATGACCTAACTGATTGAGGGCTTAATTATTTTACCCAAATAAACACTTATCGAAATTATACTAAATTAAACAGTATAGTATTGTGTATATAATTGTTGAAATGTGCGTGTAATTTAGTACTCGATCGAAATTCATAAAGAGTTCCATTTTATAGGGAAAACTAGATTGTTATCATTATAACCATTACTCTTAGCTTCTTATTTTAAGTGTTACATTGTATTTTTTTCCACTATTCACTTTATCTAATTTGAATTATGACCAATTCAATGATAGTGATCATACATATGAAACAATACAGTCTTGTGTATATAGTAGCGTTGGAATTGTCTCATGAATATATAATTAATATTTAACTTTTATACTTTATACTTATTGATAATTATAATATATTACTCGTCAAATTTCTACATCGACATAGACGAAGGTTGACCTGACCCAAATTGAGTCGACCCGAATCCAACCCGACCCGAATTGACCTGACATGAGCTTGACCCGATAATTGGACCCGAAGACTAATCCGACCCAAATTGGCCAGACCCAAACTCAACTTGAAGTGTTGACCCAATACCCGACCTAACCCGAATTACCGTTGACTCGTAACTGACCCGACAAGGACGGATCCAAAAATATTTTATCGACCGGGCCAATCTTAATAGAATATGAAAATCAACTAACACTAATTGGCTGCGAAAGCTGCTATAATATCTTTTTTTTTCCTATGCAGTGTTATAACTACTAATTGGCTTACACAAAGCCGGGTCACACATTAATATAGTACACCTGTATTGATTGTAGGGTTATCTGATTGTTCATCTACAGTTTGATTAGATGACTCTGGAACCACATTATCTAATTCAATAGCACTGGTTAGACCATGAGGGTGCGTGTTATCAACATTTATTTCAGGGGTAGATTTTGCTTTTGTAAAATATGAGTCAATTGTTTTCCTCTTCATCATTCAACCTAATAATGATATCGGAAAAAAACTAATCATCACTAACTACACTCAATAAAAATATACATATAATTTCACAAATTCAATGCTAATTGCTAAGGTAATTCGTATTTTTTTCACGAATAATTCGTATTTGATTAGTAATAAACTAATAATCTAGTCGAAGTCTAAAAGAACATAATAAATTGTCACCATATGAAATACAATTATACAAAATTGAATTATTTATGCAATTTAAATGACTTAAGAAACAAACATCCCTTATACAATAAAGTATGGATGATGAATTGAGCTTTTTTGTATGGAATATCACGGAGCAGCACAAATTTTGAGAAAAAACTATTTTTTTATTGATTGGGGATGATACCTGACAAAGTTGCAATAGTAGGTATTTAAACTTTGTAGCCTTGTAGCTATAGGTATTAGAATAAAATACGGAGTAGGGGAATAGCTGGACTGCGGCAAAACAAATATTGAAGATTTGAAGCCCACTTAATTTTTTATCCGTGTTTTGCTATTTGGGCTAATTGAGTAATTTTGTTTTTAATCATATGGGGGCCACGGCCCAGGCAGGCCCCCTAGATCCGTCCCTGTGACCCAAAACCCGAATTAACTCTTACTCGACCCGAATAATGATTAACCCGAAAATGACACAACCCGAACTGATCCAACCCGAATTTACCCGACCCGAACTAACCCGACCCAATTGACCCGTTTGTCAGGTCTAGTTATGTTCAAGTCATATACATGCTTTATTAATAGTATACAAATCTATCTCTAGTGCACAGCTTGAATAGCAAATATCTATATCATTGTTATTTCAATCATCACTATAAAATCACACTAGGAGAGAAAGAGTTAGGGTTTAAAAATTGATGAAAAATAAAAAAGGGGGAATTATAGACACCTGATTGTGTTTCCCCAAAAACCAAACCCAGTGATGAGTACCTTTCATGTCATTGAATATTGGGCAAGGTGAAATGTGTAGAGTCTCGTGAATTCTTCTGTTTTCTAAAATGTTTTAATAAAAATAATTCATTTTTGTTTTTGAAAATATTTCCTTTCGTACTCTATTTATGGAAAACGTCCAACCTAGTTAGTTTGGTCCATGATATGGGTCCAATAATGGTGTAGTTGGATAGGGCTTGAAAAGACTTTTCCAACGTTATATTATAAGCCTAATTCCGATGAATAATGAGGAAGTTATGGCCAAAATACAGTCACCGTTAGTGTGACCCACTTTACACCAATTAATTTTTTTTTTCTTGATTTGAGAGCTAAAAAGAAATGTTTCATTAAAGGTTTAAATGATTATTTTGGCCTTAAAGAACCAAATTGAGCTCGGATTTGGCTAAAAATAACGTAAAACCCTACTTTGTCATTTTTTTTATATTATATAAATTCGAATTCTCAAAAGGTAGCTTTTACATATTTTTTTCCTAAATCCGAGCTCAATTTGCATCATTAAGGGTTAAAATGACCCCTAAAACCTATAACAAAGTAATTAATCTCGTTAAGGTTAAAATCGCCATGATTGCTCTGTCCATTGAAATTAATCCCAACTTTATACCATATCTGTCCAAAACACTACCAAGTGACTTGCACTTGGTTAAGCAGGTTAACATTTGCGAGTTAGATTTTTTTTTGCACACGTATCAATACGTGATTGGTCAAATATAAAAGAAATCAAAATTGAAAAATAAAAATTGAAAATAAAAAGGGAAGCCACCCTAAACGCCAGCCACCTTAAAAGGCAGCTGGAATAGGGGACGGGTGGCCGAAATTCGATGGAAAAGGCAACTAGGCGGTCAAAATTCAATGGGGAAGGATGAGTGGTCAGAAATTGGTGTGGAAGGGCAGAAATTGAAGGGGATGGGAGAGAGACGGTCAGAATTCCACGGGAAAGGGATGAGAGGGCGGAAATTAGCAGAGAGAGAAGGGGGTGCAAACGACGGGGAAGGAAGGAAGCTTGTCGAAAACGACAGGGGTTGCCATCTGTTTGAGGTGGCAGGGGTTGCCACTTGCTGAGTAAGGTTTGAGTTTTTATTTTATTGAGTTATTTTTTATTTTTTTAATTTTTTTTTTGGACTAATCATGATTGATACGTGTCTAATAGCTTGCTTTATAAAATTCGATGATCGGTAGGGTGCGGATTGAGTATAAAGTTGGGATTAATAAAAAATAAACGAAAGTGGAGTATTTTTGACAAACGGAGTAAAGTTGAGATTAATTTGAGCAATTTTTCTATTATTGATTATTGATGATAATACTAACAAGATATTTAAAAATAAAATTAAATTAAAATTAAAAAAATCAAAACCAGAAGAAAAAGAAGATAAACTGTCCAAACCCAGCCAACGTGCAAGAACAACCATGAAAATTAAACCTCAATAACTTATTAACCTCTTCTACTACTTCATCTCAATTTCAAAAAATCATGTCAAAAACACCATTTTTACAATACTAATCATCTCTTCTATGAGCTTGTATTCAATCAATGGGAACTTTTACTAGTTGCGGCAGTCTTATTACTCTTAATTTCAGAACCACCATTAATGGGGTTCCTTCATTTTCTTCCAACATACACAGAAAACCTCAAAATTTCAATGGTAATTTTGGGTTAAAGTTTGATAATAATAACTGTTATTTGTGCCAAAAGGGGTTAAAGAGAAATTTGTTAAATACCCAGAAAAATAGGGGCTTGTTTGATCGATTAATGTGTTATAGTAGAGGTAGTGAAGAAGATGGTGATGGCGGAAATTCGGCAAATGAATCAAATTTGGCGACTAAAGAGAAAGAGAGAGTGGTGGAAGATAAAGAGGAGGGTGTTGCTGAGTTAAGGTCGGAAAATAAGTCCACTTCATTTTCTTCTTCGGAGGTGAGCACAATTTTTATATCCTACACTCGTGAGCATGATGCGCGTTATGCTCCCGGTTACGTTATGTTTTTGTTCATAGTTTCTTGAATGAATTTGTGGGGTGTATGCTAAAAAAAAAAATGTAATTTCATTATGTTTTAGTATTTGTTTTGTCTTGATGATTGAAAACATAACTAGTTGGTATGCCAATTGCTAATGCACCCTAAATATTGAGTGGTATCTGAGTTCAGTTGAAGAGGTGTATGCCTTACCATTATAGGATTTGAATGTTGAATTTCAGTAGTTTTAGTTGTGCAAGAAATTTGATGTATCTCCTCAAAAAAAAATGTAATTTGATGTATTTAGGGGAAGTGATTCTCCTTTGTGGAGCTGATCCTTACACTAGGCCTTTCGGCTTCGGTAGGTTGCTTAAGCAAGATGTTCCGTTAACTGATCGTGTATTAGTTGGGGAATCAATTTGTGATTTTAGAAATGAAAAGCCCTCCATATTAAATACCATGTACTTTAGAATTGGCAGTCATGGATTGCATAACATCATCAATTTACACTTTGTTAGGGGCCGGGATTTTGCAGGATATAAGAAGAATTCCTTAAGTAATTAGCCATACTGTTTTGAATCTTCCGATTGATTCTTTTATATGCCCTTGGTGGGAAGAAATCGAAATCCCATTAATATGATTATCTTTGCAGCCACCACCAATTTCTCCTGTAGGAACACCATACAACAATTTTCAAGTCGACTCTTTTAAGTTAATGGAACTTTTAGGACCGGAAAAGGTTGATCCAGCTGATGTGAAGCTGATAAAGGAAAAGTTATTTGGTTATTCTACCTTTTGGGTGACAAAAGAAGAGCCATTTGGTGATCTTGGTGAAGGAATTCTTTTCCTTGGGAACTTGAGGGGGAAAAGGGAGGATGTGTTTGAGAAGCTTCAAAAACAGCTCGCAGAACTCATGGGTGACAAGTACAATCTTTTTATGGTGGAGGAACCTAATGCAGAGGGTCCTGATCCTCGTGGTGGACCTCGTGTTAGTTTTGGTATGCTACGAAAAGAGGTCTCTGAAACTGGGCCTACGACACTTTGGCAGTATGTAATTGCTCTACTTTTGTTCCTTCTCACCATTGGTTCCTCAGTTGAGCTAGGCATTGCATCTCAGGTATGCTTAAATCCATTAATTCCTTGGCAACAATTATATATCCAGATTATATCAACCTTACTGTCACAATTGTGGAAATTCACAGATAAATCGTCTTCCTCCAGAGGTAGTGAAGTACTTCACAGATCCTGATGCAATTGAGCCTCCAGACATGCAGTTGCTACTTCCATTTGTGGATGCTGCTTTGCCTCTAGCTTATGGTGTCTTGGGAGTTCAGCTGTTTCATGTAAAGACATTATTTACCTTGTCTTTTGGTTCTTCATTTGGTTTTGATTCATGAGAAGGATTAAATTTAGCCTTTTATGCTCAATCTTAAAGAAATTACTCTTAAAACTGGAATTGAGGGTTTATGTACTTATTTCATAGCATCTTTTGTTTTTTATGATGACGCTAAAGGAAAGAGATTTTGTTTTATAACTTCATTTTCTTGGGTGGGTAGATATAAAGACTGTATCTTTCAGCTTTTAAGTATTTCAGCTAATACTCAACCACCTATTTAAGTTCCTATTGCATGGAGTTTTCTATCACCAGTCTCGTTAGTCTTGGGTCAAAGTCAATTACTGGAAACTGTCATACAATTTTCTGTAATCAGATGGTAGGCTAAAAGCTAGTTACCATTTGCTTACCTTGACTTATTTCCAATCGTATCTTAGATCAAAGTAATTGACAATGGTGAGCTGTGACCTTGTTGCATACTTGTATTTTTCTTATATTTAACTAAAGACTTTTTTTTCCCTTTCTGTAGGAAATTGGGCATTATCTGGCAGCTTTTCCAAAAAATGTGAAGCTTAGCATTCCTTATTTTATTCCCAACATAACTCTTGGTAGCTTTGGTGCAATCACACAGGTAAGAACACGTGCTTTTGTAAGCCTACTATTGAGCTCTCCACAATACCTCTGTAGTCAATAAGCATCTCTTACTCAAATTTTAACATTTCTGACTGAAATTTCAAACAGCTTTTCTATATAAAGCTGTCTTTCTTATTAATCCTCCAAAGGATAAAACCTACATAATCTGTATGATTCAGTAAGATGAAGATAATGTATTTATCAATTCACAAAAAGGGAAGAAAGGTTAAGGAGCTAAAACTGTCGGTCATGGAATTTTACCGCTACTTTAAAGATTTATAATGGACTAAGTCTCAATTGTAACCTGACTGATCTCTGCTTTTTACTAGAGTTAATTTTATTTTGTCTTTAGATAAAAAAAAGAAATAGCATAGATATGGTATTCCCTTTTAAGAAATGTGTTAGGCTGATTGTATGGAAATGTGTTAGCGGTTTCTTCTATATCTTTGCGTATTTGTTTGTTTGGTTGTTTGTAATTTTTGATAATACTTTACTTTATAGATGAGTATAAAAAATGCGGTCCTTAATTAGATCAGATCAAATAATTAAAATTCACATCAAACCAAATCAAATAGGAAAAATGAAAACTAATAATCCCACCTTTAGTGTGTCTTCCATAAACATCACACCTTTTCAAATTCCAGAAACAATCCCACCTTTGACCCCATCTTCCATTAACAATCCCTGACCATTTGGATTGTTTTGGTAACCGGTTTTCTTAGGTTATAAGACACATCAGATTTTAATAGGTTTATTCTATTTTTTAATAATTAAAAAAAAAAAAAAAACCAAAACCCCCTGCCCTAGCCCTCCGCTGCACCCCCCTCCCCATCCCTGCCCTTGCTTTCCCCGGCAACCCAACCTACCCCTCCAAAATACCAGAACTTAACCCCTAAAACCACCATCCTCATGCCCGAAAACACCATCAGTTGCACACCTCATCTATGACCATCAATTTCGCAAAGTCCTGGAGTTCAACGATAACATAATTTGAACACCCAATCTAGGCGTCCTTGCAACCAGAATTCGGCGACTAAGGAGTGGGGTGCGGCGGAGAGAGGGGTGCGGAATCTCGGGTAGGTCTTCGTGGTGGGGATTTTAGGGGTCGTTTCGGGTGTCTTCTGGTGGTTGAGTTTTGAGGGCTAGGGGGGTTTTTTTGGGGCTGGGGGTGGAGGTTTTCTGGCTGGGGCTTAAGTATTGGGGCTAAATGGTGTTTTTCGATGCTGGGTGGTGTTTTTTGTGGCTTGGGGTGGTGTTTTTTGGGCTGGGTGGTGCTTTTCGGGGCTTGGGATTGAGTTTTCTTGTGTTAGGTGGTTTTTTTCCAAGGTTGGGTGGGGTTTTTCTTGGTGGTTAAAGGGTTTTTGGATGTGGCTAGAGAGTTTCGTGTTGGGTGGGGGTGACCGTTCAGGTGTTGTCATGGTGATGGATTGGTTGCCAAGGAGAGAGTTCAAAAAAAAATAATAATAACCTGTTTAATAGGTTGTAGGTAAAAAGGATTGTTAATGGAAGAGGGAGGTCAAAGGTGGGATTATTTCTGAAATTTCAAAAGGTGAGGTAGTTTATGGAAGACACGCTAAAGGTGAGATTATTAGTTTTCATTTTTCCAATAAAATATTATTAAAATCAGATGAGATCACCGTATTTTATGTGAAGTGAACAAGTCTTTAGTTCTTATGTATGCATACCCCCAATATCTTTTTTTTTCCCAAAGGATTAGAATAAGCCTAGACTCATGCTGTACGGTTCCAACTTAAAAAATTAATACATATTATGTCATTCCACCAACATGGTCAACACCATAGGGGACCCAACCTATGATGGCTTACCAGTTACCAACTTACCATCTAGGAGTTTTCAATCTAAGTGATTAAGCACTATAGAAAATTAATTTTGCATGTGTACCATCACATAGGTCACATAATACAATAATTTAATTGTTTTTAGTTATAGTTAATCGTATAAAATTAGTTCCTTCCTAATATATTTTTAAGATCTATGTACTACCTCCGTTTCATATTAGTTGCAACTTTGGAATATTTACATCTCACAAATAATACCCCAAAGTTGAAACTAATATGAAACGGAGGTAGTTTAATTCCGATTATTCAATTTTCACATAAATGATCTTTGGAAGACTATTTGAAAATCTTTACTTTAACAAGATAATAACAACCATCATTAGAAATAAGAACCCAAATGGGACCAAATGATATGTGTATATGCTAAAACGGTTGCTTGAAAAAGGGAAGTAACAAGTCAATTTCCTTCCCTAAATCACATAATACACTTATACACAAATAATACGCATTATCTCATCAAAATATCGGTTTCATTTAGATTGATAAAAGTAAAATAATTACCTTATCAAGCTCGTATAACACACTAAGATTTTAATATCCACTAGTTTCTACTACCCACCTACAACTAAAACGAAATAAATTGGTATTAGTTACAATAAGCATGAATATCACGACCAAGATAATAAACATGTATATCATCATTAGTAATACGCCGAACATGCTAATGAATGATTAGATCAAACGTTTTATGCATTTCAATCAAGTTTAAGAAATCCCCTTTACTATTTTGATACAATCTCTCATTAGTACCATGAAATGCTAAATTATGTTTTGCAAGAAATTTCACGAATGAACAAATTCTCGACAAAACCTTTTACCAATGATCCTTTTCTTTTTCATTTTTTTTTATCTTATTACAACTTTAATTACAAATCATACCAAATTGCCATGTTCTTAAAATACTCCATACTTGTCTTATGCTCTTTTAATCTTATACTAATATGTGCCCAATCTTGACATATTTGATGGCCTTTGTTTTATTTTTGATTTTTTTTTAATATTTCATAACAAAAGTAGAAAACTTTATCAAGCTCTTTTGAATAAACACACAGTCTTTCTATTATAAGAGATATTTAATTAAACTCATTTTTATTTCACACACATTTGAGAGATTGTATTAAATGCATGTGTTTCCCTCTTTATTTTATAATGTGAAATATCTGTGCGTCACCACACTTACAAAAAAATTGGTACCACAACCCATTAACAAAACTTGGTAACAAAAAATAATGTTATAATTTTTCAATATCCTAGTAACCTAGACTTACTAAAGAAAATTATGATAAGTGCTCTTATAGGATGAGAACAATTCTTGATGCACAAGAGGTTTTGGAGATTGTTGAAAAATGGTACACCCAACTCCCAACATGAAGATGTGTCTAAATTCAACCAAACTGGAAAAGAATATTTGGAAAGCAAGATAAAAATAAATCATATGCACTTACTGCATGAAGGTTTGGATGATGATATATTTGAGAAAGTTGCTGATTTAGCTAGTTCTAAACAAGCATGGGATACTCTTAAAATCGGGTAAGGGAGGTTTGCCTTCAAACTCTAAAAGGAGAGTTTGAAATTCTTGTCTAGAAAAAAAATTCCATCTTTTCACAAGAATTTTATACATTATTAACCAAATGTAGAGGCTAGGTTAGTCAATCCTGCATAGTTTATAGAAAGTATTCCGTTCTTTGAATTCTAATCTCTTTAACCACATTTTTGGTTGCTTTTTAAACTCAAATAAGGTTTTGGATTCCATGACAGTTGATGGATTTAATGATTCTCTTGGAGCCCATGAGCATCAATGATAGAAAGGAAAAAAAAGAAGAGCAATAGGTTTTTAAGCCGAAATTTCCTTTAAACAATAAAAGATACACATGATAAGCATAAGTATCAATAAATGTTGTTGAGTTGTCGTAATGGCAATAAGGACGTGGTCAAGGAAGAGGGAAAGTGGCTTAAACTCCCAAAAGTATTATGGAAGTGAAACTTCTACTCTGGACATGGTAGATGAATGAATATTAAAAAGTTATAAACATTGCCATTTTCCATGGCAATGTTATTAAAAAGGGTGCCGGAAGAAACAAATCAAATCTTATTGAAGATAAAGTAGATGTAGAAGAATCAATCATGCTATTTAATCTAAAAATGATGATACTTATTGTTGTTGCGGTTTGAGATTGTGGTTAATGATTTGACTTGGGTAGTGTTTGATTGAAAGTTGAATTGAAGTGATTTGCATTGTTGGATGATGATGGATATTGGTTGTTGAATGTTGGCTTGATAACATCAATTTGGGATTGTTTCAAAGTAGTATGATTGGTTGTTGTGGATATTGAGTAGTAGCAAAAGTTGTCTGACATTGTTTGGTGGATCTTTCGGGTTGAATTGATGATGCTTTTTAAAGTTTTGGTGTGATAAAAAAGGTCAATTGTGAACAATTTGTAGCTCATAGAGGCCTTTTTTTTTACCCATAGTTGGTGGGCATTCTCTGATGATCATTTGTGATCAATTTTTGACCCAATAGATGGTCAATATTCAGACCTAATAGATGGTCGATTTGTCGTACCCATCTATGTTACTCGAACTCAGGTGGGTACGTTTTCAAGTGCCCGACTCGGACACTTGATTTTGTGAAAAAAATTCTATGAGTTTGAACTAAAATGAAGTGTCCAAGTGTCCTACCAAATTACCAAGTTGGTTCCAACATGGGTACTTGAGGTAAAATGAAGAGTTCAAGTAACATAGGTGCCCATAGAGGCCTTTTAATGTGATCCATAGTGATCTTTGTTGTGGCCCAATAGAGGTCTTTTTTACTGATCCATAGTGATCAAATTTGATGACCCGTTAGGTCCTTTCTTGCCCATTTAGGCCATTTCTCAGGGTTTTTTTTTTTTTGAAACTCATTTTCTAGTTGCATTGTCTCACATATCTTCTGATTCCCAAACACAATTTTTCTTCCATATTCATTCTCCTCTTGTTTCACCATTTACATTGGAGTTACGGTGTATTATTATGCAATTGGTGGTTGGTTTGCTTCTTGAATTTTGTGGAGTATAGGATAAGAATCAGCATTTTTAATGTTGTTTCTCAACTGAAAGTTGAGTTGTTGGAGATTGGTTTGGTTCTTGGTGCTTTTATGAGTTTCATCATTTTCAAAGAACAAAGGGATAGCCAGGTTCTCTTCCTTAAATCAATCGTTTCTTGTTCGATGGAGTTGGTTGTTTCTTGTGCAAGAATTATTGATGAGTATATGGTGATTATGAAGTGTTCTTTCGGCTGTGCCAGTATATATGAAGTGTGGCAGCAATGTTTCATTTTCTTATTCAGTATTGCATTGCAGTTTGGTGCAAAATTACGTGGTATGATTGTGGTGGTATTTTGAGGACATGGGACAGTGTACAACAGTAGTTATCTGGTGATGTTAATTCAACTGGAATTAATTATTTTGGAGATTGGTATTTTAGTCTCCAACAAGATATATACTCCATTAGTAGTTGAGCATGTCAAGGAAATGGTGGTCATGTTTCGGTGCCTTTTCAAACTACATGAATGAATGAAGTTCAAACTGGAATACTTTTGTAACCATTCCAGTTTGAAGGGGGATGTGGGAATTCATGTATTTTCTAAATCATGGGTATCAATTTTTTCGATCAACACTCTGTCTACACTAACTTTGTTATCTGGCTGGTATAAGAGAGTTGATGTTAGCAGATATATTATCTCACTAAGTACTGACAAGTGACAACAAGTTTATGAGTTCATGGTGTACTGCAGACTGCAAAGGAACTAGTTTGCTACATTTGGTTAAACATCCATTTCCAGTTTGATGGGGAGTGTTGTAATTTATGATTTAGTCACGTTGATTTAGTTAGTTTATGTTTTGTTATTAGCATTAGCTTGTAAATATAGATACTCTAAGCTTGTACCATTTCCATAACATAACAGAATAATGATAAACCTCTTGTTCTTCTGTCTTCCTCTCCAAGCTTTAGCATACTCTTCAATGGCTTCTTCTCTCCTACGTGACTTCCTTCCCCCATAAACATGAAATTTTGAGCTTGTGTGTGTATATTGGTTGCTGGTGTATGCACATGGCTACTATCAGATTCTACACACTGACAATCCTTTTTGTTTTCTTAGCAAACCTACCTAAATACTTTATTGCTTTAGATGCATTTAATTGTTCAGTAGTTTAGAAATAGCATTTTATGTAATAATATATAAATTTGACAAAAAAAACTCAAATCAGATTGGCTTTTTGTTAATAATAAAACCCTGTCACTAAACCCCTGATATTAATAAGAAATCTGCCTTAGCTTTATATACTTGCCTTTTCTGTTACTACTTGTGATGTAAAATGGATGAAGTAAAACTTGTACAATTTTTGTACCAGTATCTTCATTGTGCAATCATTAAAGGTGCAAAGAGTTGAATGCTGATTGGCTGACTTTTTTTTTTTTCCAGTTCAAATCTATCCTTCCAGATAGAAGGACTCAAGTTGATATTTCACTGGCTGGCCCCTTTGCTGGTGCTGCATTATCTTTGTCCATGTTTGCTGTTGGCTTGCTGTTGTCTTTGAATCCTGATGTCTCCGGGGTTTTTGTACAAGTGCCTAGTACCCTATTTCAAGGTTCTCTGCTTCTTGGACTTATAAGTCGAGCCACTCTTGGTTATACGTATGTCTTCCCCTGAAGTGCTTTTTTGAAACTATTGTTTTAATTGATTAGTAACTTTCTTAGTCTCTAGTATACCTGATACACTGGCGAAATTTTTTCTGGTGCTTGTTATATGTTCCATCTTTTTTACGGATTAGTAATTTGAAGAAATAACTATGTTACTGATATAGATGAGAAGATGACCCATATTAAAAATTAGCTTATTATCATCTCAAGGTTAGTGTATAGAGTGCCTAGGTGGCAAGTTGAAGGCATTTGGGGTCATACGCCTTTCGCTTTAGGCAGCTAGACTAGGAAAAGTGATTGTGATGAAATGTGGATGAGGCGCACCTAAGCTTACCCTCTGAGGTGCACAACCGTTTTTTCACAATTTTTGTATTTTTTTGGTATGTACACCTCATTTCAACTAGGCGCAGCTAGGCCCACTTAAGGCACAGGGAACTGTACAGATTGAACTTGTTTTAACATTGCTCACGGTGCAAGTGCAGCTCAGTTTTCTGAAGAATTGAGAAATAAATTCAATTATACTTTATATTTCAACTTTGTAATGCTCCTATTCTTAAATATTGTTGACTTGCTCTATGATAATGCAGAGCAATGCATGCTGCCTCAGTTTCAATCCATCCGCTTATGATTGCTGGCTGGTAAATTTCTGTGTTCCAATATCCCTTATATGTTTTCCACATATGCTTATTTACTACCTTTGTTTCATATTTTTTGCAACTTTGCAGGGTTCACGAACTCCTAGGCAAATTTTTTTTGTGAGTGTAAGATAGAGAGAAAAATAGGAATGCGTGTGATGAGGAGAGAGATAGAGAGAAATGACAGCCTAAAAGGAAAGAAAAAATTAGTTGCAAATAATGTGTAGCATCCATTTTTGGCAAAAGTTGCGAAAAATATGAAATGGAGGTAGTAATTGAAAATTTTAACCTAATCCTATTTGCAGGTGTGGATTGACTAGCACTGCTTTTAACTTGCTTCCAGTTGGGTGCCTTGATGGTGGGAGAGCAGTGCAGGTAATATATACCTTGGTCTCTTCTCTTCGCTGAACTACTTGGTTGACAAAATAAGCGAGCTAGGTTACTTGGCTTGAACATTTTGGATAATCCGATGTGTATCCTAAAATATGTCTTTGTCTTGGCAATTTAGGAAGCTTTGAAATGTTGTTATTCTTGATATCCGAGTGTCAAGGGTCTTCAAGGGTCAATATTATATTATAGTCCCATAACTTGTGTATAGTTTTCCCTAATTTCCTTGAAGAGTTCAATGATTCATTCATTTGTTCTTGTGGGTAACATAACATTTACTGATCAAGAGAGGTTCTCACTTTGGGCAAGATGAAAGGAGTAGGAAATTACACAGCCTTTTTTCAGTTTGGGAATCATTTGAATTGCTACCAGTTCTGTTGAAACTGATTTATGATTGAGAATCATTTAAACCTGCACTCTGGTTTTTTTATTCTTCTTCATACGTCTTAGTGGTCATGATAATACAAAAACTGATCATGGTGGTGATACGCTATACACTAACCAACCTAACTATGTTGGCTGTTCTACTCTTTTGCTTCATTGCACGTGCAAATCACTATAGTTGAACAAGAAAGTACTAAGCAACCAAAAGCTCCAGAAACAATGGAAGAGGTTATTACCTATGAACAATCTGTCAGCTCTTTTGTTTCATTTTTATTTTGGTGACATTAATTAATGATGTGAGTTTGAGGATTCATATTTCAGTATCCCAAGGTTTGTTAAATCGTGTTATCAGTTAATACACTGGAATTTAGTGTTGGGACTATCTGTTAACATCACATATGCCGTTTAAGGCGTTTATAACTTCAGTAATGACCAGGCGATTCTTTTTGCATCTTTAGTTCTTGAAGTATTTGTCTTCAGCGTGTCTTATTGCGCTAGAGAAATTGTGTAACAAGATTAAGTGATTATAGCTATGCCAGGTTGATTTTATCTTCTTTATGTGGTTGATTTAGTTAAGTGATTCGGCTGTTACAGCCTTCTCTACTGCAGCAATGTTCAGTGATAACCATCTTTGTACAAGTAGTTGGAAATATTTGCACAAGTCTCCCATTTTAGAAGATAGGTGATCTACTTGGGGTTGCTACATGTGTTTCATTATCGGCATTGATCAGGTGCCCTTTAAAGTAAAATGGTTAAACTAATTGTTACTTTAGTTGCTATAAATCAGGTTATTATGGTCTTCATGACTTCACTCAACCAAACTATTCTTGTGTCTTCTTCAAGTATTGTGGGATAGTTCAAACTTGTAATTGCTCAATGCTTTTTCAAATATCATTTTTACAGGGTGCTTTTGGAAAGAATGCACTCATTGCTTTTGGGTTGACAACTTACGCATTGCTTGGGCTAGGAGTGGTATGACTCTTCTTATATTCATTGAAAAAACTTGTAATTTGTTGATGTTCTATCACATGTGCCACAATTCTTGTTTCAGCTAGGGGGGCCTTTATCACTTCCATGGGGGCTATACGTGCTAATATGTCAGGTAAAATGCTTCACCTGTAAACTGGAACGATTATTCAGTCTTTTGTTAAACTAATGTATGTACTAACCATGTTCAGAGAACTCCGGAGAAACCATGTTTAAATGATGTGACGGAGGTGGGGAGTTGGAGGAAAGCTGTGGTAGTAGCAGCTACTTTCCTGGTTGTATTGACACTGCTTCCTGTTTGGGATGAGCTAGCTGAGGAGTTGGGTGTAGGTCTTGTGACCACGCTCTGATTATCTGTTTGCGACAAACTGCATTCTTAAGAACAACTGAAAATGAAAAATCATCTGCTTTTTGATTTGGAGTGTGCATATGTTAGCTAACACAGAGACTTTGTTCGTACATGTACGTTATTAAAGAATAAATGTCCAAGAATTATACAATAGATGTCAATATTTGGGATTAGAGATGTACAAAAATTTTGTAATTTTGATTTATATACTCAAGTATATTCATCATTCTTAGGAGTACCCCTCCTGAGAAGAGTCTCCTAATGGCCTCTTTTATATATATAAAAAAAAGTATATTCAGCATTCTCTTTTTATAGCTTTTGAAAAAATTAGTCTCCTTAACTAAAATAATTGAGGAGTTGGTGTTCGACTATTCTTATATATTTATTCGCTTATTAGATACATAGCTCATATATTTTTTATTCGCTTCTAAGGTACATAGCTCGGCTTCATAGAATCCTCATAATATAGTCGTATCTATGCTACTAGTAATATACTAAAGTAATATGCAAATAATTCTTAGATTACACGGGTCAACACCATATTAATAATTTTCCCTCCAAAACTTTTTTGTTTTTTTGTTATTTTTTTCATATGGAAATAAATAATAATTTTATCAAGAATAAAGATAAGATAGAAATTTTAAATCTTACATAATCCTATTTTCAATTTGATTGAATAAACAAAAAAAAAATAAAAAAAAATAAAGGGTTTGTTATATATTGTTAATTCCTGTTATTGTCAACTAAGTAAATTATTATACAAATTTTATTTTTCATAATATGCATAAAAATAATCTAATCATATATTAATTGAAAAATCTGATCATAGCCCAGGCATTAACTAGCGGTTATTATTCCTATGAGATTGAAATTTCAACAACCTAGTATTCAATGTACTCCCTCCGTTTTTTTTAAGTGTTACACTTTGACCGACATATAGTTTTAAACAATTTAATTGATTTAAATAAAATAAGAGGTAAGTGGGGTAATTGGAGTATTAAAAAAGGAAATTCTGTGTAGAACTACCCTAATACTGACACCCCAGTCATAATGACATCCACGTAAGATAGGGTCATTTGTGAACAACTACCCATTTTTTTTATTTGTTTAGAACTACCCATAAGTTTGAAAACGTTTGGGTAGCACTACCCATTAACATTTTTCGTCCAATTAAGACGTTATCGGATCCCACTTTTTTCACTTTTGCACCCAATTAACTCTCCCAATTTGTATAAAGGTTTTAATTTACCTTAATTAACCTAATTAGGGTTTTAATTAGAATTCATTTTAGGGTTCATGAGCTACGTATTATTTGGGGATTTTGATTTCTAAGGTTTGGGGTTTAATTGAATTGGGGTTTTTGCTTATTTTAGCATCAATTGGATATTGTAATTGAAAAAAGTGAAAAATTAGGCCAAAATAACGTTTTAATTGGACAAAAAACGTAAGTGGATAGTGCTACCCAAACTTTTCCAAACTTGCGGGTAGTTCTAAGCAAATAACAAAAATGGGTAGTTGTTCACAAATGACCTTATCTTTAGAGGAGTTCTACACAAAATTTCCATTAAAAAATTGTAAAAGAAAGATAATGGGTGTAGGGAATATTTCAAGCGTTAATCTCCTAACTTGAACCCCACTGTGATCATACACTAAAGTACGGTGGCGTCCAAAGGTAAAGAAGATAGAGCAAAAGAGTCGTCAACAAGTTTTTTAGGAACTTGTAAACCGTTCACGAGGTGAAGGTTACACCCCTTAACAATCCAAGAGATCGTCAACTCCATAAGGTCTTGAACCAAATAGGGTTCGGGGATGAAGGTACAAATCCAACCTAAAAGAGATTGAACCTGCCATAATAATAGGCCTCTACTTTATTCAGATCGTATTCATGTGCGCTTTCTGGCTAACATGCAATCAATAGGTTTAACCCTAAACCTGTTTATCTATGTTGGTTGAATATTAATGCACAAATAAATCTATTATTGGCGATCACTTGAATTATAATCAAATTAACCCTAAACAAGATTATTAACTATCTATTAAGCGTGATTATAAGTATCAATTCCCTTTAAACGTGCATAAAAGGTGTGATCAAGCGATAAAAATAAAAATCAAGCAACATAATAATAATAATCATAAATCATAACAATTATAACAATGATAATCATAATTAAAACAATTAAAAAAATAATCATGAATCATGTTAAAGCATAATAATAGCAAGATCCTACACATGATACTAACAAGATTAATAACAAATCCTAGCATGTCACTAAACAATAAAAATCAAATCTTTAACCCTAACATGATACTAACAATCATAAATATTAGGAAGAACATAAAAGGCATCATAACAATCATACTTAATATTAAAGTTACCCTAAACATGATACTAGGAATATCATAATAACAACCTAAACATGAATTCTATATCATAACATCAATAAAAACCATTAAAATACTTACTTGGATGCCTCGTACCTCTTTCTAATAACAAAATACACGCGTTAGTAATTCAAGGAAAATAATAAACAATTAAATCAAATACTTTAAATAGAGATTTGGGACCAAACCCTTAGAAATTAAACATTTCACGTCTAGGGCGAAGGCAACTTCAAATATGGCTAGGTGTATCTAAGTCTTGTAAATGCGGAATTTTGTATTTGTGAAAAAGCTAGTTTAAAAAAGAGAGAGAGAAAATAATCAAGAAAATCTTGATGAGAGTTGGTGAGAAGAAAGAATTAGAAAGGATAAGAATTGATGAGAATTGATGAATGAAAACGGAGTTTTTAGAAGACTATTTATAGAGAAAATCAGCCAAAAGGATAAAATATCGAAACAGAGTTCTGACGCAAATAAAACCTGATTAGCACCAACACTGGCTATTGGCGCCAGACGCCAACATTAGCGCCAGGCGCCAAGCGTAGCGCCAGGCGCTACAGCTGGCGTTAGCGCTAATTCAGAAATTCACGCATTTTCTTAAAATCAGATAAAAATTGCCGTACAGGAGGATAAAATCGTATTTCCCTCAGAAAATGTTCTTTGATTCTAATTAAAACTCTAAAAAGTCAACGAAAGTCAATTTATCAATGCTAATTGAATTAGGAATGAAAAGAACCTTCTAGAAGAATCTAGAAAACTAAAACCATTCCTAATTGCATTAGGAATGATAAATCCGTATTAGGCCCTCCCCTAGATCATTGGGCCGCATATAAGGCTCAAACCGGGCCCAGTTCAGTAATTTGGCCATAACTTCCTCAATATTCATCGGACTTGGGCTTATAATATATCGTTGGAAAACTCTTATCAAGCCCCATCCAACTACACTACTATTGGACCCATATCATGGACCAACCAAACTGGATTGACTGTTTTCTTAAAATAAGTTTTCAAAAACAGAGAGAAGAGAAAAGAAATTAAAACTATCCGCAACACTAAACTTTCCACACTTTCACTTCATTCGATTATGATTCGACGCGAAAGGTACTCATCACCGGGTTTGGTTGTGGGGAGACACAAGTGGGTTTCTACAATGGGGTTAATAGTTTATTGAAAAGTAATGAATGTAAGAGAAACGATATAATAAAAAAGGTATTGGTGGGTTTGGATGGGTACCATGAAATAAATATAATATTTATTTTTTAGACACAGAGAGATATAATCTTTTAATGTAGTTTTTTGCCAAAAAAGGAAGTATAACACTTAAAAAAACATGGCCGGAAATAGAAAGTGTAACACTTAAAAAAATACGGTTCAACAATACAACGAGAGCTGATACACATACAATACTATTAGAAATTTGAAACATTATCAAGAGTTGAGAAAATTAGGAGACAAATATAAAATTGAATTTAATGGAACATAAACCCATTATTCTAACCAATAAAAATAAGACAAATTAAAGTTGTATGTAAAGACCACATACAACAATTGTATGTATAGCCTTTACCATGATACAACTTTTGCACATCGTCGTGTGAGTCCTACACCCAGTCTTAGTTATTATTATTATTATTATTATTATTATTATTTTGTTAATTTTGGAAAACAAGCTACGATATATGAAGTGAAAGTAGTACGAACTACAGCAAGAAGTCTTGTATGAGGGACAACAGTAATTATATTATATTTTATACATTCATCCATAGAGTGCAGAAGTCTAAGTTTTTGTTCTAGGACAATTTACTACAGACCATGGTAGGGGAAAGCAAAATGATGGTCTTATATAGACATTCGTTCCTTGATCTTGCATCCTTGTCTGAGATATCACCAGCATCCGTTTTTCAAAAAAAAAAAAAAAAAAAAAAAAAAAAAGATATCACCAGCTGCATTTCTAGATCTTCAAGTCCCTGCAATTTTTTTTAGTAAGAAGGTTAGTCTGCTGTTTGCACCGCAATCTAAGTTTTGTAAGAGTTGAATTGTCTATACGCAGTAAGCCAACAATGAGCTATTATACAGTTTGTCCAATTGTGATCATCTGCTTGAGCTAATGCTTTAAGTGTATTGCCTTAGTCTTTACCTGATTCATTGATGAAGACACCAGCTAATTAATGCGACCATGTCACGTGTGTAATGAGACTAATGACTGAACCCCCTGAAATTAGATTGCTTTTTTTTTTTTTTTTTTTTTTTTACCATCTCTCAGATTTATACGCTTTGTTTAGATAGCAAAGAAGGAAGGAAACGAAGGGGAGGAAAAATGGTGGAAGGGAAGGGAAAAGAAAGGGAGGGGGAGGTGAGCTCCATTTTCCTTCCAAATCTCTCCAATTTTGGAGAGATTATGGTTATTATAGAGTGAGGGAAAATGGATCCATCCCTCTCCTTCCCCTTCCTTCCCCCAATCTTTTACCCAAACAAGAGATTTTATCCCCCTCCATTTCTCTTCTCTTCTTTTCCTTCCATTTCTTTCTATCCAAACAAAGTGTTAGTCTCCATGACTAATAGAATATAAGTTTAATAACTAGATGGCTTCACCATGTATTGTTTATCCCTAAACATATAGACAGTAATGCGTAGATAAAAACAGATTTCGGTCATCATCTAAGTTAGCGTAAGCACAAAGATTGGCTACTTGAGTCAGTAGAAGATCATATAACAGATACCGACTTTTCACAATCTGGGCAAAAAGAAAATTCATAGGCTTCTACATTAACTGTTGGTAAAATAACTGTTGAAATCAATAACAAACAAAAAAGATTAGAACTTTCCTGGATCGAAGAT